GGGCCACCTCCTTCCTACCTTGGAGCCCGTGTGGGAGATTCCTTCCTTCCCTACAGCATCCAGATCAGTTACACCGCGGCTGAATTCCAGGATGTCATTCCCCGGGAGTGGGACATCCACTGCGTCGATGTCCGTCTCCTCTGCGGTGGCCGTGGAGGCCCTCTCTGCTCCGGTGAGCTGGCGGCCTGCACAAACGACAGAGGAGTCAGGGAAGGGACACCAAGAACAAAGTCCTCCTCTCCCAGGATTTCAGCTTTCAGGTATGTCAAGCCGAGGCTTCCTGACATTTTTACACATCATTTTGCTCGAGTATGTTAATGTCCAGATCAATAAAATGTTTCCACCTTAATATCTTTTCAAAGTCAAAGGGAAAATTTCCACAAGCCTGGATGTGACAGCTTTGCCAGGTTGACATGTTTATGCTGACAAGGTGTGGGGATGCTGGAAGAAGTGGGGGTGACGGTTACCCCCACCTCATCCCAGCTCAGGAACAAAAACAGCAGAGGGAGAAAGTCCTGCCCTGGGAGCCCAGACAGGAGTCTTCTGGCCTGGCTGAAACCTGTTGGACAAGGAGCCAGTGGCCTCACTCCCTGGGCCCCAGTCTCTTCACCTACACAACCAGAGGCTCAGTTAGGCGGATGGGGAGGGAAGGCCCCGACTGACTCTGTTCCATTAGCTAAGCCACAGGGGACCAGACGTGGGTATTCAGGGTGAGCCTTGAGCAAACACTGTCTAGGGAGAAGATGCCATTAAGGGTCGAGGGGGGCAAGGAGGGGCCCATGAGAGAAATAAGGGCAGGGAGAGGTGAGGCCCCATCTTGACCCAGTGTCAGTCTGCTGGACCTCAGAGCCTGATGCTCCTGCCAAGAAGAGGCCACTGGAGGTGGCAAGGGTAGGAGTGGGGCTGCTTTTCCACACCATCCTCATCTGATTTTTCTGCTTCCCACTTTTCTTCCTCCCCACTGAAGTCAGTGACTGTGCCTTTAATCCCTGCACAGCATACAGCTTAGTGCCAGCATAGGGAGGTCTCATTATTTCTTGTTTTTCTTCCTTTCCTGATCCTACTTCTTGGAGTCTATAAAAAACATGTGATAGTTCCTGGGCATTTGAAAGGAAATGCTTTCCTTCTTTACATTTGGGATTAGGTTCATCAGTCAGGCCTCAGTCATCCAAGTGCCTGCCTTGAAGAAGTTTTCCTGGGTAAACCCATGAAAGTCAGCTGGGGAAACAAGCCTGGTATTTAAAAAGTACACAGTAGGCTTGTTTTTTGCCTTTGCAACCCTCATCAGGCTATCCCTCTACCTCCTGGAGTAGCCAGGAGGAAAAACCGAAAGGATGGTCCTGGGCATGGCCTGGGAGGGCAGCTCCTCTGCCCCTTGGTAACCAGCAGGCAGAGGGCACTGGGAGCAGCCCACCTTTTGCCACACCCCTACAGAAGTGACTTTCTTGATGACCAAGAGTTTAGCCTGAGAGGCAGAGGGGCTAATGGATAACCTGTGGCTGGTTTTTGCAGGTGAGTGGTCCTGGGAACTGAGCATCTGGTTTTCTATTTCTTTCCAGGAATAAATGGGGTGAGATTTCCATCCGCCCTCAGGAGCTGGGCTTCTGCAATGCTATGTATGGAGCACATGGTATCAGACATGCCTGACCATCGACCTGAGGCCATGCCTTTGTCCCAGTCAGGTTTTTCCTGAGGATCTGGTACAGAGAAAGTGTCCCATAAATACTGACAAAGGCAACAGTGTAGTGAACAGGGCCGCAAAACAGGGAAGTGGGCTGTAGCCTCAGAGCCCCTCACCTCTAGAGATTTTACTGATGAGGACTCAGAAGCCCCAGATACAGTTTTAGAGATTCCCCTGCCAGGTCAGGTGGAATCAGAAAATCTCTCAGGTTCTAGCTCTGCTTTTGGTGGAATCATAAAAACACAAACCGCTCAGCTATTCTGTCTGTACTAGTGCAATTCCCAAACTAAAGTAACTAAGCACAGACCATAGCGTGCCTTCTGAGGATCTCCTGCCACAAAGGTGATCATATTTGGAGTCTTGTCCAGTTAATATAGTTAGTGGGCCCAGGTCAGTATAGTCACTGAGCTGGGGTGACTGTAAGCTGGGGTAGGGATGGGTAGGCAGGGAGGACACCCTAGATAGAGGGCTGCAATCCCTGTGTGCCTGTCAGCACATCACACAAGACAGGACCTAGAGGAGGAAATTGCAGCTAATGGCCTTCAGGTCCTACCAGATAAAGGAGGAAATCTGGTATGTGCTACCTTCCTGGCACTGAAAAGCCCAAGGGACAAGAAATGGCGTCAAAAAAACTTCCAGCAATTCCACTCATGTTAACAGAGAGAAGAAAGACCAAGATTGGGGGGAAGGCCAGTGCTGCTTTCTGAGCTGCTTCATTAAACTATTTTTATCTAATACATTACATAGTAGCGAAAAGCCATCAGACATAGTAAGTCTGAAGATTAAGTTTGCAAATGTGCCACCATGTGCTTTCACTGGCAGCACTGCACAAACAACTTGGTAAAGTTTCATAATCTAGGTATATCGGTGTCTCACAAAGATGTTCATGTTAATGTGTGGTGGTGTCTTGCTGAGTGGCGTTCATTATTGTTATTGTGTGTGTTTGTGTGCTGTCACAAGAATACTGGAGCTTAAACTAGAGCAACAAACAAAAATTGGTAAATTGCTTGTTACACTTGGTTAGAGTAGATGTAAAATCAGGGACATGTTAGTCCACATTTATGGGAGTTAGGCCATGGAGAAAACGGCAGTGTAAAATGGATCACCTGTTTTTCTAAGGGGAGAGAAAGTGTCAAGAAGAGAGGTCAGGGCAGCCAGTGTCAAGCAGAACTGATGAAAACATTGCAAAAATTCATTGAGTTATGCATCAAAATCATCAGCTGACTATGAGAAGCACAGCAGACAAAGGGAACATCCACAGAGAAACAGTAAGGAAAATGTGAACTGAAAATCTTGGCCAACAACTCATGGCTCTTTTATCACGACAATGCACCAGCTCACATGGCACTGTCTATAAGGGAGTTTTTAGCCAGTAAACAAATAAGTGTATTGGAACACCTCTCTATTTACCTGATCTGCCCCCAATGACTTTTTTCTTTACCCAAAGACAAAGGAAATATTGAAAAGGCAACATTTTGATGACATTCAGGATATCAAGGGTAATACAATGACAGCTCTCATGGCCATTCCAGAAAGAGTTCCAAAAGTGCTTTGAAGGGTGGAGTAGGTGCAGGCATCAGTGCATAGCTTCCCAAGGGGAGGACTTTGAAGGTGACTGTAGTGATATTCAACAATGAGGTATGGAGCACTTTTTCTAGGATGAGTTCACAAACTTAATTATCAGATCGCATATGCTTATTTCATACGTGTTTATTAAATAGCTTCTAGGGAAAATCTAAAGGATTCAGCATGAAGATGAAAAAGCAAAATCTGTGTCTTCAATGCTTCTCCAGCCTGGCAGAAAAAACAGACAGAGAGAACAGCTGTAGCCTGAGTTTGTGTCACCTGCCAGGGAGCCACCCACAGTGCAGGACCACTGAGGAGGAGCGGTTAACTCCTAGTGCAGAGGAGAAAACACCTGAAGGAGAGCCCCGGCTAAGGCAGGTGAAGAAATGGGCAGGTGTGGAGCAGGGCAGGGCTGGGGAAGGCACCCCAGGCAGAGGGCAAGGCAGGTGCTAAAGTGGACATCTCCTCATGTCGGGGGTAAGGACCATGACTCCATAAGGAGGCCTGATCAGGGAGCGTCAGGACTTTAATCCTGAAGGACTAAAAGCAGATAATACCAAAAGATTTTCATTGTATAAGATTTCACCCTAGAGCTGGTATAGAGTATGATTTTCAACAGGTGTGCCATGGCACACTGGTATGCTGTGAGAAGATCTGAGGTGTGCTGTGAAAATTTTTAAAGATCATTAATTAAATCACTTTCAAAAGAAGTTCAAAGCACAGTAAATATATTATTTTTTAACTCTTTCTTTTTGATCAACACAATTTAAGTGTGCCATGGCAGGTTAACTATAGGTTCAAGTGTGCTATGAGATTAAAAAGGTTGAAAAACACTGGTGTAGAGGATAGATCCAGAAAGGACAGGTCAGTAATCTAAGTGATAAATGTGAGAATGAAAGCTAAGAGAGCACCAGTAACACAGAGGAGAGGCTTTGAAGAATCTTTAGGGGGCAGAAATCACAGCATCTGCTCATTGGCGCAACAAAGGGGTAGAGATACGTGTAGGGGGAGTTCTAAGACTTCTGAGTTAGTGACCGAGTGGAGATTTGCATTTGACAGGGAAAATCCAGGGGGAATAGGATTATGGCTATGCAGATGAGTTCGGTTTTAAACCTGCTATAATTGTGAGTCTATAAGAGTAGAGTTAGCTACGAGGCAGTTGGGTATGTTATGGACCGAATGTGGTATCCCTCCCAAATTCCTGTGTTGAAGCCCCAACTCCCAGTGTGATAGGATTTGGGACCTTTGGGAGGTGATGAGCTCAAGAGGGTGCAGCCTTCATGATGGGGTTAGTACCCTTA